CTCAGTGGTGAAATTCACACTTTTTTTACTACCGGTTCTATGGTGGGCTTGGTGGGCATGGCAGGGGAAGGATACTGCAAAATCTCCATTCCCACGGCATTCCAGAGGAAGGATACTGCAAAATCCCCATTCCCCCCCCCCGCTCCTAGGGGGAAGGATATTGCAAAATCCTCATTCCCGTCCCACTCCTGGGGAAAGGATATTGCAAAATCTCAATTCCCACGGCACTCCAGGGGAAAGGATATTGCAAAATCCCCATTCCGTCCCCACTCTGGGGCCAGCCAGCGGTGGTATTCGCCGGTTCTCTGAACTACTCAAAATTTCCGCTACCGGTTCTCCAGAACCTGTCAGAACCTGCTGGATTTCACCCCTGGTTGCGCTAAACTATAAGTAACACACACACACACACAGACACAGACACAGACACACACACACACACACACACACACACACACAAAATCAGGTTATGACTAAGCTAGATTCATGAATGTAAATTACTCATCAAATGAGGGAATTCTTCCAGAGTCCCCTCTTACTAGGTTTTACAAACCGCACATAAAAATGGTTTATTTATAACGTCCTCCCACCTTCCAGGTGCCTTCCAACCACAAACGAAAATGAACAAATAGAAAACAAAACCGCGGTTAAAATTAGTTTTATCGATTTAGTGCAATGCCTTTATTGATTTGTGCAGAATCTGAGCCTAATTCTCCCAACCCTCTGATTATTTCTCCGCTGGGAGAAAACGAAATCCAGGTCTGTATGTTTTGTGATGCCCCAGCCCAGTGTTTTTCAACCTTGGCAACTTGAAGATGTCTGGACTTCAAGTCTCAGAATTCCCCAGCCAGCGAATGCTGGCTGGGGAATTCTGGGAGTTGAAGTCCAGACATCTTCAAGTTGCCAAGGTTGAGAAACACTGATTTAGGGGGACAAAGGCATCTTGCCTCCTTATTTAGGATATTCCATGTGTCACATTTTCATGTCGCAGCAGGATATAAACAGTGGCTTATGGGACAGAGGCGAAGTAACATAATGTCACAGCTGTGATTACAGCAATTCTTCGGCTGAGATGGGAGGCTTTTGTTTCTGAATGGAATGTAGATAGTAGAAACTATTTTTTTCCTCCTCCTGTTCACAGTTTTGTGTTTCACTTTGGGCATCTGTGTATTCTTGGGCATACGCTAAATAAATATAATTTAAGTTGGTCGGGCCAAGGCTTTAAGCTTTAGGATTGGTGAACCTTTGTTAATAGATTACGGTGATCTCCCAATTAGAGTTCAGTGTAGAAGGTACACATTTTAATAGCAATAGCAATAGCAATAGCAA